GATGTTAATTGTGCATTACATTGGTAAAATAAAGACCCCAGTAGCAAAAACACAAACATGTTATTAAAACTTAAAAATATTATGAAGACAAACTCTCTAAATGCTTTGAACACTTTGGAGACGTGCTTATAATACAAACCTGAAAAAATTGTTATATCTGTCACATGGCCTGTGGTATCAGTCCAAGTATTAAATAAGCAATAGCCCCCCCCCCACAAAAAAATTTTAATTTCAGATTATATATGGCTATTTCTAGATTTTTCTAATATTATTATAAAGTTAATATTTTATTCTCATTCAGAGATCAGCAGATGTAAAGACTTTGAAACATAAAATATATTTTCTTATCCTCAATACATTTTATGGCAAAATTCTTAATAACTCAGTTTAATGTACAATAGGCACTACTTGATTATGATTGTGTTTGTTCACAGCTATTTTGATAACTTTAACCAAATGATAACATTAAATGATGAGAAAAAACATCTTTCAATAGCAGTAGAATTTCACTAATTTAATATAACTAGAAATGTATAAATATTTTCACAGCATTTTAATTAGGAAAATGCAAAGCTTTGTTTATGAACTGTTCATTACATTTCTAGAAATTATTTAACTAGCTCTATACCCCTAATCTTGATAATCCGAAAGCATCCCTCATTCACTGGAAGAGGACCTGCTAATGTAATATATAAAATTAGGCAAAAAGTAACCTTAACATATATTTTTCAAGAAATTGTCCCCTTTTCCTTGCTCCCCTAAGAAGCTGAAGCAAACAAAAATAAAAATTCCACAGAAATTACCTTACTGCTGAAAAAACGGACCTATATTTAATCACTCTCAAAATCAATAGAGTTACTCAAAATATGCCATACTAAATTTCAATTTTTTGCCTAAATTCAAACGATTGATTACAATCAAATCCCAGCTGTTTGGCAACTTAGTTCCTTATTTGACAACATTTCGTTGCCACTTTTTATACTCTATTTTGAAATTACTTGATGACCTTGCTACAGTTAGAAAATTAATTCTAAATTACTTCGATAATATTAACTGAATTGTTGATCACAATAAGTAATCTCGCTTCCATGTCTTTATATACAAGCGGGCAGAAGCTCAGCAATTTGATAACATTAACCAGCATCACATTAAGTGGTGTCTACTGCATTCTCTTATATAACATAGTGTGTTAAATATAGATATAAAACGATACTGTGCTAAAATCCTATATATTTTAAAAAGGTACTAGTTTTAAGCTCATTTTGTTTTTGCTTCATATTTTCAGAAAGTGATACTACTTAAAAAAAAAAAAAAAAATCAACGCAACTGAAAGGATACATTGTATGGACAAATTATAAAAAATGAGACCTTTCATGGAATGAAGCAGAATTCTCTTTATAATTAAAATACTGTGTCTTTATTTAACATGTATCATAATATTCCCATTTTATACTACAGTTTATGACATTGTAAATATAATTTAACCATGATGTGAGTGATGATAAACAGAGAATTTTCTTTAAAAAAAAAGTCTGTACCTGATATGAAACAAAGTAATATTTAAGACTAGCAGAGCCTCAAATCAGAAAAGGAAGTTAGTCTTGATAAATAAAATATTCACCAGTCTTAAAAAATAAATAAATAAATAAAATAAAGTAATTGGTTAAAATGTGATCAATGAAATAACAAGAACAATGGAAGACAGATTCAGATTAAATTTCTCGTTCACACATCGTGCATCTAAATCTCTCTCTATATATAAAAGATTGAAATTATGATTATATATATGTAAGATAAAAAATATGTGAAACAAAATTATAATTTAAACTAATGGTAAACTCTTTAATTCTTTCTCTCTGTTCTTAAAATCATAATAACTTCTCTCGATTGCATCATTTCTAGATCTTTCCTTTTTGCATGGCCTGCACAGTGCTGATGACGTAATTATTGGAAACTGAAGTTTCTTTAACTCAAACCCAAAACTTTCTCTTTGTGTGCTTCTATCTTGCATAACTATGCACTTCAGCTTCCCTCTCTGCCCTGCTAGGATGTAATTTCCCTGTCTTGCTTGCTGTCGCTATAATATTAAAAGTGTAAATGTTCTTGAATAGGCATGTTTAGAGTGGCAAGTGAATTGTGGCCATAACGCCAAATGGAAAATAAAAATGGAATTTAAACTGCCTTGGCTGCCAAGTTTCTTAGACACTATGAACTCAACATGTTATGCAATCATAGTATTACGCATCAACAGTGTTCTGGCTTTTCCTTTCGCATTTATTTCGTATATATATATATATATATATATATATACAGGGTTCATAGCCACATTTTAGTTAAAAAAATAAGCACTTTTCAAGCACATTTTAAGAAAAAAAAATAAGCATCTGTCTAATTACATTATACACAACTGCATAACCTTAAAAATTAGACTTGTAATTTAAAATATGAGAAATGCAGTATTTATTAAGAGAGAATAAGCATTACCTCAACCATGGAAAATAATTACTTTTTTTTTTTTTTTAATTTTAAATAAAAGTTCAATTTACAGAACTAGTTTACAATGAGAGAAAAAAAAAACTATGCAGAACTAAACTATATTACAAGATTTAATGATGAAATTTCATTCAAAATAGAGAAAATAAATAATAATAAAACATATTTATTGTATTTGTCTGGAACCTAATAATAAATATAATTTATTTTTCCACTCATATTTATATTTAAATAATTTAAATCTAAATTCTGAACATTTTCTAAATTTTCATCGTATATCAGTTTTCCCTTAACAGATATTGCGAGCAAAGTAATTTAAGTAAAAAAGAGGAAAATTTCTGAAATCAGAAGACAGAAATTTGTTTCATGCAGTCATCCTTTAACAGTAAAAGCTTAACTAACCTGCACCTGAAATTGGCGAATATTCGGACAGTCGAGCGTAACTTGAAAAAGAGGAGCGGAGGGGAGTAGACTATAGCCGCTCTTTAGATTTTCCCGCTAAATAAATGCTTTTGACATTTTGATATGTGCATTATATAAAAATAAACCAATGGAACTGAAAAATATTCTGCTTAGCAAGCACAGTAAAACTCTTTTAAGTGTTCATAAACAAATCACGGACAGAACATCAAAATTAATTATCTCTGCAAAATATCGCGAACGTTATTGCGCAATACGTGCCCTGTAATTCTTCCCTACGTGATATTACGGAATCAACAGCTGCCGGTATTAAAGAACTAAATAACTGGGGTGTTTTTCATTCTAATTTTCAACAGATGGCGTTAAATTTCTGGAATAGAATCATTCTTCGCTTGGGTTGGTAAACCGCAGAACTTTTAGTCCTATTCAATCCAGATTGGAAAGTGACAAAAAAAATTCTGTTGTTTGTTTTGCAGTGAACTGTAACAGTTTCAATATTCGAGATTTTGCGGAGAAAGGGGAGAACCTCCCAATCTTCATACTGTATAATGTATTGGCCAAAAAAAATGAAATTATTTTGACTATTCGATTACTTTCCCTTTATTCAAGCCATTCTGAATATTATTCCTTAGAAAGCTAATCTATGTTAAAACACAACCATTTTTGGAAGTTTACTATACTTCAGCAGTTACTACAACTATGTTATTACAAACATTCATACATATATGCTCATAATATAAGCATAACGATCATAATAAACACGAATATGAATTGCCCAAGCGGAACGAGAATGCAAATTATTAAGATCTTGATAGAAATTCAAACGTGTGTAGTATTTGGGTGGGAGGAAAAGAATGCCGAATGTACCGGAATTTTCTACTGCTTTCGCAATTCTTTGACCAATAGACCGATGGGCACGGGCACCTACCTGTCTGTACTCTTCATTCACACCAAAGGTTATGTTAATGCAGAGAAAGGGGTAAAAGCTATTTCCGGGAGTATGATTCACCATCCGACATTCCATATTAGGAAGAAAAGTTATTTATTTAGTTTTGGCTTTGAAACGGGGAAAAATAGCACGCTCATTAAAAAAAAAAAAAAAAAAAAAAAAAAAAAAGCAATAAAAGCAAAAAATAAGCACTAAAAATAAAAAAATAAGGGCTTTAAAGAAAAAGTAAGCACCTATAAGGGCCTTTATATTTTATTTTCAAATATAAGGACTTATAAGCACTTTTAAAGACCGCTACGAACCCTGATATATAATCATAATTTTAATCTTTTTAACAGCAAAGATCATAAAAGTAATATGCACAGCAATGAAAAATTATGAAAAAATTAATATATACCAACTATTTATATTAATGCTATTTCAATATTTTGTTTTTATAATAATTTTTTATTTATTTTTCAAAAAGTATAATTAACTAAAATACCTGATTCATCTTCCAGCTTTGGTATGGCTGTTTATAAAAGACAATTATTTCAGCAAATCCACACAAGTGTAAATATCTCACATATACAGCCTCCAGGCAGATCTCAAAGGATATTTAAATGTCCATGTATATAGCTTAACTGACAGTTTCAAACAGTACAAGTTAAATAAAAGACAATGTTGTCAAAATATAATAAACTGCTTCCATAAAATTTATGTTGAAAGAAATATCACCGGAAAGCATTCAATTATTTTTAAATTTGCATATTTATGAAAATGCTTATTTCAAATGTCCTTGAAAAAATACTATCATATATTTACAGTCTTTTAAAAGATTAAATCTCCCTAACAGAAAACAATAACAATTTTACGAAATTCATAAAAAAAAATTCAAGCAAAGCAGCAGATGTAAAAAATAAAAATTTGTTCTAAATATCTTTTATAATAATTTCCTTAATCACATTCAGTCACAAGAAATACACAAAAATATATGTTCTTCTTAATCAATTTGATATGCAGATCAAGTTATTATGGAAGACTGTGATTACTTGGAAACACACACACACACACAAAAAAAAAAAAAAAAAAAAAAAAAAAAAACTTTCATTAGCAGCATAAATTAAACTAATAATTCTTAACATGAAATCTAACCAACAGCATTTTTGCCTTGAATTTTCCAGATACTTTTTTTTTTTTTTTTTCATTTTATTTTATCTGCATTCTTTCATCGGCACTTCCTAAAAGAAAGGGAGAAATAAAATTCAATACACAAAAGTATCTTCCATAACTTTATACAAATATTCATAAAAATTACAAATGTTATACTAAAAAAATTTGAAATATGAAGGCAGTTTTAAGTAAAGTAACCTTAATATCAGACCTATACAGAATTCATTCTAGGGGATGTATTTTGTTGAAAACTTGTACATAAACTACACAGACAACAAGGAAAAAGAAAATTGATATAAAAATTTCAGATTTTGACAACCATATGAAAAGGTGTTTGAATAAGAAATTTCTCATCCCAATATTTTTCAACAAATGTTTCCAGCAGCATCGAATGATTTGTCGGTCTCTTGTGGTCTACAGTAAAAAAAAAAAAAAGGTTCTGCTATCTATACAAAATCTACATGGAACAAAGTTGCACCTTCAAGACCTACATCAATGCACTGATTTTGCTTGACATTTTTGGCAAGAACAGCAATTGACAATGCATGGCCTTGAAACATTTTGTGATCAGACAAGGTGGTTTCTGCCTCAGATAGAGCAGTAAATACTTAATGTGGGATCCTCAAGTCCCACTGCTATGAATGAATGTCTCTGCATTCTGATTATGTGACTATAGGTGTGATTTCACTGCTGACATCATTCTTGTCTCCTTTTTCTTTGAGAGGAAAGCAACTTCAGGAAAATTTTACAGTAGTCAATGTGTAAATGATATATTTACAAGTGTAAACATGTATAGATAATAATATTTTATAATTAATTAGTCTAACTTAAAATCCATAAAGTACAAAAAGTTGAAAAATTAAATGTACGTCTTATAAATTATATGCATATTTAGTTAGAACTTTTATTTTATTACTCAAGCAAAAATATCAGTAAATCTACTATAACATATTTTTGAAATGAATATTGTAAATCACAAATAATCATAGGAACAGAAATCAGAAAAAAATTCTGTAATTCTACGGAGACAAGAAATATGTAAGTAATGAATTCATCAACAAAACTATTTATAAGTTTTTTATAAATTATGAATTTGAAATCTATAAGCAAGCTTAAGTTTATCTTTTTCTGTACCACAATTCTTCATTTTTTTGCACATTTACTTTTTCAATATAGTAACAACTTCAAGAATTTCCATATCAAAACTTAGTCAAAATACAGGCTGACTTTTTTTTTTTTTTTTTTTTTTTTAACACCAGAGATCCAGAGATTATCCAGAGATTGTGTTTCAATGAGGAACAAAGAGTATTTATACATTTTTAGAACAATTTCAGGGCCATTTAATAAATTTTTAAAATGTAAAGAGTAATTTTTTAAATGCTTGATCTGATAGCCTTTTTTCTGGACTATATGTCTGCATTGTGATTTCCATGACAAAAAGAGCTTTTTGTAAAATTTCCAGGGATATTCATTACCATTCCTCTTCCCCTACTTTTCAGAGTCCATCACTCATGGCAGGTTTGTGCTTAGAAGAACCGAGGACGAGAGACCAGAGGTACAACAGCCCATAGATGAAACATCAGGTGACTTTGTAAGAATAAGTTGAAAAGTATATGAGCAATGCGTGTATCAGTCTTTATTGTTTCAAGGAATACAGTGATACTTTTCAAAGTATTACTTATTGCTTTATGTTGAGGAAGTTTTACTCTTTAAAAGTCACTGTGATAAAGAATTGGAATTTCTTCTGTGACATAAAATATTCTCTTGATAGTACACTGAGCTGCTTTTAACATTTCTTCCTGAGTTGATTTTAACATTTCTTCCCATTCTTCTTGTTTTTATTTTCCATTGTAAAAGAATCATGTGACAATCATAAACGGCCTTACTGAAACTTTCTTTGCAATGATGGAAACAGGTTTGTATAATTTTCTCTTTGTTTTTTATAATAAATATAGTATTTTTGTTCCTGTCACTTAGGTAAACCTATGCCTCATAATGGGTACAACATATTCCCACTTATCTCCAGCTAAATAATTTTCACACAAGGTTCTAAAAATTGCTCTGTGTTTAGCTACATGGCAGGTGTTCAGCTAGTTCTGTGTTTAGCTACAAAAGCAGGTGAATATTATTCTGTTTAGCTTTTTTAATTCATAAATCTTAGTGTATTATTTTGTTTAATGTTGCTGTGATGCATTTAAAAAAAGACTTCCCAATTATATTGGTTTCTGTGTCCGTATATTTTCTTTTGTTACCAGCCCTTTAACTTTAGAAACATTACTAATGGTAGATAACTTTTTCAGGTATTTGTTTGGTGTCTTTGTTCCGTGCGGATGTAATGACAGAGGCTTTTTTCCTTTCCAATTAATAATGTTGTTTGTTTTGCACTTGGTTTAATATTATGCATTTCACAATGTTTATAAATTATGGAATAGGAATGGTTCTTTTCTAGAAGTGCAAAAACACATCCCTCAATCCACAGCTCGTTTACATGTGATATTTTGATAGAAGAATAAATTTAAAAGTAGCAGATGATACTCCTCATTTCAAGTAATAAATTGTTGTATGAAATTTTTATTCTAAAACATTTGCTTCTTTTTAATTCTTTATCAAAGTTGTTCTAAAAATGTGTAAACACCCTCTGTATTATTAAAAATGCAAGCATTATAACTGTGAATACTTTGTACTGAATGCAACCATATCTTCTAATTCTGCAATTTCTGCCCATGCTATATCAGAACACAAATCTGAAGCTTCTTATCTAAATCTGAAACTAAATTATTTACTTTATACAGTGTCTCACAAAAGTGTTCACACATTTTAAAAATTTGCAGAAAACGGCACTGTAACCTGGAATTGAATTTGAATATAAAGCCGATATTTTTCCATATCATCTCCATGTAATTTTGAATAAAACCAAACTTTTCATTTTTAATGCTGACTTATTTTCCTTCTCTCAAATTGAAACTGTAAGGAGGCATAGATAAAACATGCCACAAAAGTGATCGCACAATATTTTCGTAAAATTTCATAAATCAAATTATAGTCTACCTTTTTTTAATTTTTGTATTTTAGTGACGTTTAAAAAATTGTTTGACTTTATTTTTTGCTTGCTTACTTTGTTACATTTTATTCAACATTTAAAAATGTCTCGTAGTCATAAAGAAACAACGAATAGCATTTGAAAATTGATAATTTTTATCATAAGTATGGAAATTCGGTTTGGGATATCGCTAAATTTGTAAATTTATCCCATTCTATGGTTCAGTATGTGATAAAATGCTTTAAAGAAGAAAATTCAGGTCCAAAATAAAGTCAGAAGTTGTTCGGCAAAGAGGACTCAATGTGATGAGAGATTTATGGATAGAAAATCTGTGAAAAATCCATGTTTGAGTGTTGTAAATATTTCTACAGTATTTACTAAAAAATTTTCTACTTCAATTTCACTTAAAACTCTTTGATGAGTACTCAGATCAGCTGGATTATATGGGCACTCTGTCTGAAGAAAATTTTTTGCATGTGCAAAAAATAGAAAGCTTAGGCTTTTCTTCCCAAAATGAATGGTAAAAAAAACCCCAAACATATTGGAATGTCTTATTTGCAGATGAAAGCAAATTTAACATTTTTGGTTCCAATGGGCATATAACTGCATGGAGGGGGGGGAAGGAGCTTAATTCCAAGACCTTGGTTAGAAAAGTAAAGCATGGCAGTGAAGGTGCTCTTGTGTGAGGGTGCATGTCAGCATCAGGATTAAATAATTTAGTATTTATTGATGGTATAATGAACCATACTCTTTATTTAAATACTTTAAAAGATACTTTTAAATTAGCTGGCCAAAATTTAGATACTGTAAACAACTTTATTTTTTTTTATCAGGATAATGATTCTATGCACATGGCCCTCGACAATTGCCTTTTGGGTGTCTACAAGTTCTGAAAACACCACCTTAGCAACCAGATTTAAACCTAACACAAAACATTTAAAAGAATTATAGGTTACAGTAGGAAGACACAACATTAAAACAAAACCAAACTAAAAACAGTAATGATGGAAGAAAGGAGAAACATTGATGCAAATATTGGAAAAAAAACTGGTGAACTGCATGCCCAGATGTTTGAAAGCTGTCATAAACACTACAGGATATACTACAAAATACTAATTGACAGAAATACTACAACAGTTACTAATATGGGCAGATTTCTTTAAAGCGTCCAAAGACTTCTGTCAGGTAACTTTTCGGTTACTTTTTTATTACTGATTTAAAAAAAAACACACACAAAAAAAAAGTTTTAATACCTTTATAAAATAATAAATGTAGTTTTGCTAAGAGAAATTTATAGATATTATTAAAAAATTATCATTCTAAAACATTAGTTTTTATTAATGAATAATGCAATATTTCACTGAAACTCATAAGTGTCCGAACACTTTTGTGAGCCACTGGATATAGAAAACTCAATTTCTACTTGATCGAGATATTTTTTATTGCTAATGGAAAGAAAATTATTCACCATGAAATCAGTGGATGAAATGAAACATCAATTCTTAAGTTTATGCCGCAGCTTCAGTTTGTTTTAAAAAGGGATAATTCAGAGAAAATGTATCTGCTATATGAGCTGTTCGCTGCACAAAACAATTAACTCGCCTTTTGGAAATTTTAAAGTTTTTGCTTATCAAAGCACTTGGTTCACTTATAGCTTTTTATATTTATAATAAATTTCCCAAATAACAAAGATTAACACCATTAAACAACAAAATGCTTTAAGCCATTGAATAATAGATAATTTATTTCAGGAGGGATTTTGATTAACTCCATACTTTAATGTAAATTGCTGCAATAATTCAACTCAAATCCAGCAGCATGTTCTGAATGACAATGATAATTTTTTTACGGCCATTTTATCAGAATTAAAGTAAAACAAATTATTTAGTCACAATATAGTTGTCAGAGAATCAAGTATTGTGTTTGAAATATTATAAAACATTACTTCAATTCGACAGTTATTTTTAAGGAAATAAATATTATGCCATTATAAGCAAGATGAAAGAGACTAAGAACAATTTGGATGTG